ATTTTGACGATGTTTTCCACCTGATTGACTTGGCCATTCTAGGCCTCTAGTGTGGAGTCTGATAGGCCCATCTCGGCCCTTTTTATGCGTTTTTGTCATCCTTTTCCAGAATATTTGGTTCATGCTGGACGTTTTGTCTCTCTTCTGAGAGATGGTGCTGGCATGCCTCGCCTTCCACGGGCTTTGGTTAATTTTGCCTTAGCTTACCATCAGACAGATTGTATTTTGTTTTCTTGCTTCACTGCACTTTGAATCTCTGTTGTTTGTATGGGGCAGAACTGTTAATTATATCCCTCTCTCCCTAGATAAGTTCCAGCCTTTATCTTCCCCTATTGCCTCTCCCATTGGTATTAGTCGTCATACACCTCCTTTCCAAAGCATTCCACCTATTTCTTGGAGACGTTCGTGGGCTACCTTCTTCCTTAACTCCAAGTTGGGCTCTTTCCCTAGACACGTGACATTTTTGCTTTTAGGATCTTCTGGTGTGGGGCTCTGTCTCGTACCAAGTTCGTTTCCCTTCCACTTGTAATCAGGACTTATGGATGACTCTTTCTCTACTGGTCTGTTTTTGGTAGGTATTACTCCTGTGACTTTAGCACCATGTTGAATATCTATGTTGTTACTTTCGATGTTTTTCTTTTTTAGTTGCTCGTTTGTCTTTTAACCATTGCATTGCTTATTCATGTCCATGTCTGACACCTTCCCATCATTTACCTGTACTACATTTAAGAGTTCCTCCATTAGTTGTGTAATCTCGATGCAGATTGTAGTTCTGTGATTGATCTCTCCAGTCGAACTACGTGGGAGCTCAAGGCTTATGGAATGCGAAAAAACTTTTTGCATATAGAGGGCAGCACTGAACGAGAATAGCTTTTTTATGTGAGAGGAGGTAAATACCTATTGGAATTACATTTTCAGTATATGAAAATGATAACTTTACATTTTTATTTTAATAGGAAAATTTAGCTGATACAAGAAAGAACTATATGAAGAAAACAATGTTTAAGGCAAGTTTCTTCAATTTTTGTTACATACAAATAAAATTGGATACAGTATTATGTTTTAGAACATTTCCAGCATCTAATGGTTCATGCAAAGGTTTGTAGTTTTCCATAAGAATGTACCTTATCTTCTGACAATAATTCTGTATGATGTTAATAGTACAGAAACCTAAGTACAATAGAACTGTAATCTCCATGTCATATTGTAGCTATACTAAGAATGTGTATAATATATGTATTAAATCTTATTTATATGCAAAACCTTTTACTGTTTCTTATGAAAATAATGTATGAGGTTATCTGGATTTCTAACTAATTTGATGTAATTGTTACGACAGCAGAAGTCACGCGACGCTGGGAGCATGCGCGCTAGAGTTTCTAGAAGGATCATGAATTTTCCTGGCAACTCTAGTTTGTTTGAGACGCCCTCTGTTTTAGTATATAAGCCCAGCAAATAAAGCCAGCGAGATATAGATATGCAGATAGATAGAAGAAATTGGCATAGATTGAAGAGATAGATAATTGAGTCAAGCAAACAGTAGGCACCGTAAGTAAAGTGTGTGGATCGCTGTAATTTATAGCGTGTGTTATAAAGGTTATTAAGTTTAAAATGACTGTGAAAATTCTGTGTATTACAAAGTTGTATCGAGAAAGAATAAACTAGTTTTAATAAAGAAAGGACTTGTATTGCTGAAGTTCCTCAGAAATAACTTATACCGGAAATTAACAAACAAGCAGATACACAACAAATTGGTGTCAGAAAGTGGGATGGAAAAGGTAAAAAAAAGAAAATGGAAACAAGAAGTGGCAAATCAAACTACAGCTTAGCAGATTTGATGGCAGCAATACAAGAACAGCAAAGGAAAGAAGAAGAACGAGAAAATACAAGAAGAGAGACAACAGCAGTGGCAAGAAAACCTGCAACAGTGGCAGCTCGAACAGCAAAATAAACAAGAAGACAGATTACAGCTGTTGTTGGAGGAAAAGAAACAAGAAGAAGGAGAAAAAACAAGAAGAGAGACAACAGCAGTGGCAAGAAAACCTGCAACAGTGGCAGCTCGAACAGCAAAATAAACAAGAAGACAGATTACAGCTGTTGTTGGAGGAAAAGAAACAAGAAGAAGGAGAAAAAAC